ATATCAGCCTAACTAAGACAGAATGAAGAGATAAAGTGAATTAGGAGTTCTACCACCAGAGACAGATATGAAGAGAAGCCAGATAATTAATTTTTTTTTGTTTAATATTTAACAAACCAAGGCTCTACCCCTGCCAAAATTACTCCCCAAGCGTAAATGTGGCCCATATGGAATGGGAGGTTTCTTTTCCTCACTGCAATATCCAATTTTTATTATTCTCTTTGCCACTCTAGAAATTGTCATGCACTCCAAATTTACTCTCTTCTCTGTCTATCCCAGTATACCAAAGCTCAACCTGTCCTGTACTTTACCCTTGAGTCAAATACATTTCCAGTCCTTGAATGAATAAGTTCAAAGTATTTCCCACAGAGCTCACAAGTCTCCTGCTGTTTTCTCCTCCTTTGTCTCATGGTGACTTCAGATGCAGGGAAAGAAAAGGGCTTGTGACCAAATCAGCAAGCACTAATGAAAGCAATGCAGAGATCAGTTGGAGAAACTAAGGCCCAGAGAAAACGCAACCGAGCCAATGTCACATAGTCAGCGTGCAGCAGATTTGGGGTCAGCCAATTGATGCATGAACTCTGAGGGCTGGCTACCAGGAATCTCAGCCTGATTCTACTACTTGCTAGTTGAGTAGCAATCCTCTTAGAGCCTCAGTTTTCCCACCTACAAATTGGGGTTATTAATTGATACCTGTTGTGAGAATTCTGTAGGTAATATAGGAATAGCTCAACCAGTTATAGTTAGGCTCAATAACTAAGACCATGCACATTAAACTAACAAAAGACAGATTAGCAAGATAAAAGGTTTGTGGATTATATTGTTATTAATATTTTTATGTTTATATGTACATAAGGGTCTCATAGAAAAGGAAATGAAAACCCAAAGAAGTAGTTAGGCCTGAGAGTTTACATACCATTTTAACAAAGAGTGATAAATGTGTGGAGACGTGACAGGAAAAAAGAAAAGAGTTTGGGTTTTTAGGGGTGGTGATTTCTAGAAAGGTCAATAGACAGGGAAAACTAATGGAAGATAAGAATTATTTCAGTAAGGTTTGTTTGTGCAGATTCAAGTCAGTGCCATCTCCCGTAATAAGAGTCTTCTATTTTTTGTATGGGAGAAATGAGTGGGACACCTTCACAAATGGAAATTTGTGCCCTGCATGTAGGCAGAAATGAGGAGGATAGAGAGCTTTATTTGTATCTGCTGTTTTTGAATTGTCTTCAGCTCAAAATAATCCTCCTGACCACATGGCATATTTGGTGGTTGCATACTCTGAACCCCTTTATAGTGTTAGTGATTACACTAACAGAGTGATTAATTACAGAGTGCTTATTCATCCAATAAAAAAAAGTCTCTCCTTTACCCAAATGTTATAGAACTCAATTTTCTTTTTGACCATGCTAGGATTTAGTGTGCCCACTTACTATTCTGTCTCTAAAATTTTTATTCTCTCTATTCAAATTTGAGAATAAATGTTAGTGAAGCAATCTGCTACTCCTTCTGCCCCAAGTGTTCTCAGAGACATTAAATAATATTCTCCATGGCCCTTGGTGACTGGCCACATAACCGAGTATAAAAAGGAGGGAGCAGAAAAGGGTCAAAGAAGAAAGGAAAGGGAAAATGCACTTAGTAGGAAAGGAAGGCCACAGGAAGGTAGAGGAAAAGAAAAAGAGTGCCCTGTATGATCAAACAGAATTCCCATCGGGTTAGAACTTTCAAAAACCATTTAATCCAACCCTTCTTATTACCTTTGGAGACACTGAGGCATGGAGAGGGATGAGTCTCATGGTGGCAGAGACAGGTTATGAACCCAGGATCTACTTTATCAAATTTCCCTCTGCCTAGAATGCTTTTCATTCTGAACCACCCTCCCAATGCCACCCTCTGCTGAGTTAATGTCTATTAATTTTGAAATCTCATCTCAAACATACATTCCTCTGGCAAGTCTTACCTGACCTATCCCCATCCTATCCAATCCAGGTTCCCCTAATGCACTCTCAGAGCATCTCTCAAGGTGTTTTTCCCCAGTCCCCCAGTTTCCACCCACCTCCCTGGGCACAGAATTGGCACCCCATTAACACGAGTCAATTAGCAAGGTGCAGACACCACACATGTGCTCTATGTGGGATGCCTTTCACTACGGCAAAGAAACATCTCCATACAATTCATTCATAAAGCAAGAAACAGAAATAGCTTCCATTCATGCATCTTTAAATAGGGAGGTTCACACAGGATTCATTAAAGGAAACTTTTAATTGTGACATTTACTCCTGCAAAGTCAATGTAGCTCTTTCTAGTCAGCTCCTTCTTTCAAGGCAAACCCTACCAGAGAGGACAAGAACTAACAAGGAAATTCCATGAATTGTTCTAGTGCTTTATTTTTTTTCTAACTCTTGGTCTTATCACCCCAGACACACTTTACGTGGAACAAATTGATTAAAACAAAATGAGAATTCACTTTCTCTTAGGCTCTGCTGTGTGTCGTTATTGGGATATAAAAAGATCCAAGTGGCTTAACTAAATCCAAAAAAATCCATCTCATACTGTCTTATCTTCAGCTCTGAAGTTTAAGCTCCTTGCTGAGAGTGGCGAAGGAAGAGAACTGACATTTATTGAGTTCCTACTATACTCCAAGCACTGGGAAAGGAAATCCTCATCCTTTATTCACTCAGGAAAGATTTGAGTTCTAGGCACTGTTCTAGGAATGGGGGAGACAGCGATGGAAAAATCATAGCTTCTGTTATCTTTGAGCTTTGCTGTTGTTGGTTTGTTTGTTTAAGACAGGGTCACTCAGACTGGGGTGCAGTAGCACAGCCATGGCTCACTACAGCCTCAATCTTCTAGGTTCAAATGATTCTCCTATCTCAGCCTCCCGCGTAGTTGGGACTATAGGTGCACACCACCATGTCTGGCCTTTTTTCCCCTCCCCCATAGAGATAAGGTTTCTCTATGTTCTCCAGACTGATCTCAAACACCTGGACTCATGTGACCCTCCTGCCATGGCCTCTCAAAGTGCTGGGATTACAGGTAGGAACCACCGTGACCAGCCTTCATCAGAGTTTTCAGATAGACAGGAAGCAAATAGACATATCACCTAATGTCAAATAAGAATTATGGCGATGAAGAGAAAGAAAATAGGTTAAAGACTTCGGAGTGATGGGAGATATTTCAGACTGGAGGGCAGGAAAGAACTTTTGTGGTGGTGCCCCTGGAGCAGAAGGCTTGTGATTATTGGGAGGAAGAGTGTTCCAACCAGAGGAAGCAGCTAACACAAAGGTCCTGCGGTAGGAAGATGCCCGGGAGGCTGGAGACACAGGGAGAAGGCTGGCACACTGGGAGCACACAGAGATAGGCAGCAGCAAAGCGGCGATGTGGACAGAGAGGCAGACGAAGATCAGATCATGCAGCCATACAAAGAACTTCCAACTCTATTCCACATTTCATAACAACCCTTTGGAGGGTTTTGAGTGAGGGCGTGCAGCAATCTGACTTTCTTTATAAATGGCTGTGTCTTATTTAGTCTGGAAAACTCTTACGAGCTAAGCAGTATTAATCTCATTTTGCAGACATAGGATTTGGGAATGAGGGAGATTAAGCATCTTGTCCAAGTTTATGCTGCTTATAAATGCTAGATTTGTAATTCCCATTTAGTGTGGTGTGCTTCCAAACCCCAGGCCCTTCACATCACCCCATGCTATCTGAGGACAGGAACTGTGTCTTGCATGACCCTGAAGCATGGTCACAGTACCCAGCACATGGCCACTGCCTGGTAGGTATTTGCTAAGTGAATACATAAGACTCAACTCAAACTCTACCACATTCCTGCAATGCCTGGGTGTTTGGGTCATTAATGTGTTAAATATGGAGACTACAGGGATTTTTACAATAAAAAAGAGAATAGCAAAGAAGTAAGATGTTCTGCTCCATGCTCTATTTCAGGCAATACCCACCCATTGAAGACATGATGTTTTTTCAGTGATTCTAGTTTTTTTACCCCACTTGATACTTTAAATTATATCTTCTACATAAAGAGTTCTGTGTGCACACACACGTCAACATTGAAACAATCATCTTGCCCTTTCTAAAAGTCCAAGGGTCTGTTGGAAATGACATGCACTGCGATTTAGCTGAGTGCCGCGTTTGCTCCTAAAGGCTATGCACACACATATATCACATCAAGAAGGGCAGCCATAAATGGACCCTATGCCTGTTCTCCTTCCTACACTCAAGTAATCCAGTGTAGCAGCTCCTTTTTTTTTTTTCATCCTTTTCCCGGAGGCAAAGTAGAAGAGAAAAGACCATTCTCAGGTGAGTACCTATTATCTAGCCCTCTACTGACTCACAATTCTCCACTGAACACCTCAAGTCTACTCCAGTGCAGCCATTCCTGCCATAAAGACGGCTAAGGAGAGGAACTTCCCTGGGCCAGCCTCTCCTCCCTGCTGGGTGCGCTGGTGAGCAGAGCCCCAAACCTACCCTGGCTCACAGGAACCTCTTAGGTTGGTTGGATCAAAGAGGGCAGGCACATCCTCACACAAACATGAAACGGAAGAAAAGCACTGAAGGAAGCAAACCAGAGGTTCTAAGAGCTTCCAGCCTGACCTCTTCCGGGCTGGAGGCACAGAGGCTTCTCTGACGACTCATAACAGAGGCTGTGTGGACACTGAAAAGATGAAGAAGGGGAAAGGAGGAGCATTCTAGACTCGGAGCTTTCTTGGGGCTCTGAAAAACAAAGAATCAAAGGGTGCAGAAGGCTAGCGTGCTGAGTCACAGGGTCAGGGAGGGGGCTGCCGGTGAGAGGCAGGGACTTTTAGGATATGATCCTTTACCCCGCAACACTCACAATACTGAGTGTTGACTCAGCCTCCATAGGAGGTATCATAATGATCAATGAAAACAGGCTCAGGAAATCCTCAGAGCTCCCACGGTGTCTAGACACAGGGATTCTAGAATCCTGCCAGGAAAGAGGGTGGGAAAGGGATTTGCAAAGAAAGCCATTAACGTCACCCCCTCGGGGAGAGGGACTCCAGGTGAGGCTCTGGGAGAACCTGGCTATGCGCACTGGTTTACAGCCTGGGTCTCCTGGAGCCTATGAAATGAGAAGCAGTCATTAGCACAGCAAGCAGCCCTCATCCTTCCTTCTCGATAATAACACTGTCAGCAGAGGACGGAAAATTACCCTGACGTCTCTATATCTCCAAATTGCACTTCAGAGACAGACTGCGTAAGGCAAACAGACCCCGAGTGAAAACGTCCTGGCTAGACTTCCAAGCCAAGGCCTAATAAATCACCCTGAAATATACAATCTGACGGCAGCTTTGCTCTGTGGCTGGTGACTTCTGCCCTGGGAAGGACCATGAATTGCAGGGCCTGACAGATGGGGTCAGAAAGTGGAGTCTGCCCAGTGGGTTGAGGACCTGCAAATTAACCCCGTGGTGCTGGTTTCAGAACATGTGTGCCTGCTCAGGCAAACACTAACCTCTAAGAAAGAAGCAGGCCCAGAGGCGAGGCCCCCCTGGTCATGAAAGAATCAACCCCAGTCCACGGAGTCCAGAGATGAGCCATCCTGCCTGGAGGGGGGAGCCCTGTGCATCGAAGAAGCCAAACGGGATCTTCAGTGGTTGAAAATGTTCATTAGGAGAGGCTGCACGACATTAAGTGAGCCCCATTGAAAGGTGCAAAATTTTTGTAGCCTGTATTTTTCTTTCTCTGTCAAAAACACCCCGATTTGCCAAAGCACTTTAGCAATCATTTGTAAATTGGTCTGCCAGGGTCTCCATGAGAATGTTAAACGACAAGAAGAAGAAATCAATATCTCATTGCTGACACGGCGGGCGGGGGTGGCGGGGTGGTTGGGGGATGGGGGAGGGGGGGTTGGGGAGTTGGGGGGATTGGGGGGGTAGGGGAGGTTGGGAGGGCAGGGTGGGCATTCAAGTGGAAAACAAGATTCAAAGTACCGATAGACCAAAGACGCTTATCTCCTGCTATGAAAAATAGTTAAACAGAAGGTGACAAACGCCAAGCTAGAGAGATTGATCTAAACAGCTAATGCAAGTAAATCCAACACAGGCAGCTATAGATGTTGAAGCTTTTTTTTTTTTAATTAGATCTCGTCAGGGACTACTGATAAGCATCACATCAAAAAAGATAATTAAGAATAAATTGGTTCCCACTTAAGCAATTGCTGCAAAAAAAAATTGTGATATGAAAATAAAGAAAATATTCCTGGTGTGAATAATTAAAAAATATGAACAACTTTGGAAATAGGAAATTTACAGAGTTTACTACAAAATCTGTATCCTGGAAGAGGTATTACATTTAGAGGCAGGAAGCTGCATATAGGGAACCAATAACTGTTAGCATTTATCAAGTATTAGTTATGTGCCAGCTGCATAACTAATAAGTGACTTTTTGTAAGCAGGTGGGTTTTTTGTGAACACTCAATGAGCTCTATGGAGTATGAAGATTATAATCCTTTTGCTGTAGATGAGGAAATTATGGCTCCGAGAGGTTAACCATCTTATCCAAGATCACACAGCAAATCGGATCTAGGATTCCTGTCTCAGTTCTAGAGTTGCTGCTATTTGATTCTACTTTTTACACGTGTCTATCCATTTGGCTTAAGAGATAGAGAGTGTAAGGAGGGCTAGCTCAAGATTCTCACTAGAACAGGAAAGAAATAGCTTGAGAGCTTTATCCATATAAAAGTTTTTTTGTTTTTTTTTGTTGTTGTTGTTGTTGTTTTTGTTGTTGTTGTTTTTTCTGGGAAGAGAAAACGTAGGCATTGTTTTGGGTATGGCCATCACCAAGGCTGGGTCCTGCCCCCCACCCATGCCTTTTCAGAGGCTTTAAGATTCTGGCTGGGACTTCAACGAGAATCCTGGGTTTTCTCTAAATACAATTATATTTAGCAAAATAAATAAATAAACATGAATTGGGGAACAAGAGTCAGAACAAAAACACTTTCACATGTTTTTCTCAAGCTGCTATAGGAAAAGAAAATTTAGCAAAGTACTCATTTGAAATATTTTAAAATAATTACACAGCAACAAGCCAGAAAGCCAAAACATTTTCTTCTTTTTCAAGATATTCTGATTTCTTTTGTGTTTCTACCTCTTGGAATAACAAACCATCCTCTCTTTTCATTTCTTTTCTGTTTTGGAAAAGCTGCAAAAACACCTCTCAAACTCATGCAAATTATCAGTGTCTCCTGAAATATTTTCCCGAAACATTGCAAAGGCTGGTAATCAGATCCTTCAAGAATAAAAATGAGCTATTTTTTTTTTCTTTTTGGCTTCTGATCTTATACCACCACCATCTTCTTTTTCCTCCTAAATAAATATATGAATAGAATTCTCTTCCCAAACAACAAATGGATCATTTTCTTGTTTTATTTTAGAAGGAAGATCTGGAGTCATTGCTGATGCGATTCAAGCCAATAGCTTCTACCAGTAGATGCCAGTGGTCCTATTTTCTGTGCATTTGATAGCCACATTGCTTATTTATGGCTCTTTTATTATCCAGACCTGCTCAGCAGTGGATGAGGGCATTAGGTGAATTAATTGTGTTTGGATGCCACAGGACTTGAGTTTTGTGAGGCAGCAGAGGATTGCAAGCTTCCAAGGAAAGAGTCTCAGAGAGGGAGCAAGAGGATTAGATGGTTTTATGTGAAAGGCAGTGAAAGAGCCCACCGGCCAAGTGGCCCAGGTGTGAATTGAACGATGACGGCAGAGAAGGCAAGGCAGCCAAGAGGAGCTGGCTCAGAGTGGGGGGTTTCTTCCTCCCAGCCAGCAGATCAGGTCTCCCTCATGAGATCACAGCACTCTCTCCTTCTCAGAGGTTTCTTTCTCTTTCTCTTCCCTTCTGTCTTCTTCACCATTCAGAAAGCTTCTCCTTCACTCCTCCCCGCTTCTCTCACCTTGCCTCCTCCTCTGTCTCTGTCTCTTCCTCTCCCATCTTCCTTTTATCATGAATGCTTTACAGGGCACACTCCGTTTGGCTGACAGGGAATTCATATGCAAGCTTTTGTTCTTTCAAGCTGTTTTTGTTTCTGAGAGACAAAATACCTACTTTGTGTCATGTTCTCTTGCGTGTGACTAATGGTAACAGAACAGTTATGAGCTGCACATTTGTATTCTTAGAAAGCTTAAATTAGTACCATTTTTAAAATAACAATTGTATTAGCATAAATTGTTTGCTTCTAAAACATCACATGTGAAAGCAAATTAAATGGCTCAAATTATATATGTCCACTGACTACTAAATCATTAGAAAGTAGAGACTAGTAATTCTTAGTTCCAAAGCTGCACAAAATTTCTGTTGCCTGAAAGCTTCTAAGATGACGGCTTTTGGCTTCTAAGAACAAAAGGGCATCTATCTGGAGGGGAGGAAATGGCAGATACCAAGGCCAGTCATCGGCATCTGATACCATTTCTGACACTCACTTTCTGTGCTGATTCGTGACATTTTGGATATAGCAATTAATATTAGTCATAAAATCAAAGGATTTGAAAACTATAGGTTTTGCTGCAATTGAACTTTTACTAGGTGAACGAAGGACCAGATGGATGGTAGAAAGATAGATGAATGGGTGACAGACGACTGGCTGGATGGTGACTGGAGGGATGAATGGTGAGTGAATGGATAAATGAGTAAGATGAATGGTGGACAGATGGATGAATGGATGGTGGATGTGCACAGTCTCTTGGAGTCGAACCAAATCATCTGAGGAACATCAGCAATAAGTTTGATTATTGCCAATTAAATAGGCACCTGTTCTATGCAAGAGATAAAGAAAGTAGATGGTTTTTTTGTTTTTTGTTTTGGTTGTTTTTAATATTTTTTATTTCCGTAGGTTACTGGGAAGCAAGTGGTGTTTGGTTACATAAGTTCTCTAGCGGTGATTTGTGAAATTTTGGTGCACCATCCCCAAAGCAGCACATACTACACCCTATTGTAGTCTTTTTTCTGTCACTCCCTTCCCATCCTTACTCCTTGAGTCCCCAAAGCCCATTGTGTCATTCTTACGCCTTTGCATCCTCATGGCTTAGCTCCCACTTATTAGTGAGAACATATGATGTTTGGTTTTCCATTCCTGAGTTACTTCACTTAGAAGAATAGTCTCCAATCTCATCTAGGTTGGTCTCTATGAATGCCATTAATTCATTCCTTTTTATGGCTGAGTAGTATTCCATCATATATATCTCCGTTTTTTTCTCATTGATTGACGGGCATTTGGGTTGGTTCCACATTTTTGCAATTGTAAATTTTGCTGCTACAAACGTGCATGTGCAAGTATCTTTTTCATATAATGACTTCTTTTAAAGGAGGTAGATCTTTTAAGACAAAGAAGGAAAAGATGTGGTCCATGCCCTCAAAAAAGTTGCAATCTAATTTGGAAATAAGACAATATACAAATAATAATACACATTTAATTAAAAATTATATGGTACAGATTGTTCAAAGGAAACTCGTTTGGAAAAATATGGGGTGGGGAATTCCAAGTAAGAAGTGGAGTATTCAGGGAAGGCTTCATGGAAGGGACCTCATCCAAGTAAGAATTTAAAGGACAGATTAGCTTTGAAAAAGTGGGAAGGAGGGGCCATTCTTAGGGAGAAACAAATAAAATTTGGTGGCACCAAGTTCTTTCTTTTTTACTGGTAGTCTCCCATTGTTCATTTAAGGGCTTTGAGCAAGGAACATCAAAATTTTGTCTTTTCTTTAATTGTATGCTCTGTTGTTAGCACAGTATCTTGCACAAGTGAGGAGCTGAATTAATTCATAGTGAATGAGTAGGTTGAATAAATAAATGGAGAGCTATAGCTAAAGTCCCTACTCAGACTGTAGTCCCTGCTTGGGATCCTCACCATGAAATGAAGCTCAACTACATTCTAGCATGGGTTGTATTGAATTAGATTTTTCCTGCATAAAGATCCCTGGTAGCAACTTAAAATATGGATTGGGAGTAAGCTGACGAAATACAACTTGAACTTTGGCAATACTGGAGACAAACTAGTTTCTTAACATTTTTCTAAGAGGAATCCTTTCATAGTTGAAATGAAAAGAAAAGGGCCAAAGGGGATACCAGAGCCACGCTTTGACACAGTCTTAATTAAATAACTACTCCCAGCTTTGTAGAAAAATCAAATCTAATACTGTTTTGCCCATGGATTGTTCTTCAAGAGGATAATAACAAATCACTCCACTGGCTTTAGCCTTGCAACCAGCAACGTGCAGTAACTTAATTAGCTGATGTGCTGTATCAGTAGTTTAGAGACTGCAATTGTCTACTCTCTGAACTACACGGGAAGCTCTACTGGGAAGTGTTACTGCCTCTAAAGGTGAATGTGCTGGCCAACAGGTGGCTCAGGGAGTTTGCTAATGAGTTTTTTTTTCCTTTTTTTTTTTTTTTTTTGGTTTGAGACAAGGTCTTGCTATGTTCCCCAGGCTGGATGGAGTACAACGGTGCAATCGTGGCTCATTTGCAACCTCCATCTCCTGGGCTCAAGCAATTCTTCTACCTCTGCCTCCCGAGTACTTGGGACTACACAGGCACATGTCACCATGCCTGAGTATTTTTGTTTTTTAAATTGTAGAGATGGGGGGGGGGGGTCTCACTATGTTGCCCAACCTGGTCTTGAACTCCTAGAGTCAAGCAGTCCTCCAACCTCGGCCT